CTTGAAATACTACTCTAGAGATGAATCTTTGGCTTTTAGAGAATGGGAGTCCCATATGGAGAGCTCTTCATCCCAAAATTCCAAACACCCAGATGAATACAACTTGTACTCTTTCCACGAGAGTTGATATGCATTCTCTTAGGAGAGCACTTCCATTATGAATAAGATATGCATCTCTAAATCCATTTTTAGGTAAAATAAACTATATCTTCACATTTTAGCTCACTGATTTCTTGATTGAATAGCTTTAAGTACGGTCTTGTATGTGGACTAAAATGTATGAGCACACTGAAGTATGATTTAGGAATTACTACTAGAATTGAAGAGTATTATTTAATGCCTATGAATTAAAAAGTATGACCTATTAAATTGTTTCTTGCCATCTGACAAGAAGATTCTATGGCTACCTTTTAAAACTCAAAATTAAAAGAAGTACTTATTTGTAACATACCAACTTCTGGTTTCATCCTGTATTATTTGAAATAGTTATAGTTGGTTTTTACATTTATTGTTTAAGGAAACTTAGTTATAAGGTTAACACTGAAAAACCGTAGGAAGAGGATGGTGGCTGGAAAAAGGCAAGGTTTATATTCTCTCTCTCTCTCTCTGTAGTTCTCTGAAAAGTAGGCTGTTACTAAGAAACACTGACAGTAGTTCTTTTCAGGATCTGTTGTGCCAAGGTGAAGCCAGACCTTTTCTAATACTGGATTTTAATCTTAAATGAGAAGGCATCTGGAAATGTGGAAAGCATATTCACCCACAAGACCCAACAAGCCTCCTATGTTACATACAAATCCTAAAATTATAGTCTGCCATGGAAGAAGGTAGGAAACTAACAGTCCATGAGCAGGGGAGGCATGTGACCACACCAAAAGCGTGAACAAAGCGGATTTTGCTCCCTGTTTGGGCTGGGCGAACATTATGATTCATTATGAGTTTACCGTTCTGGTCTAAATATTCTACAAGTTCAAAGTGGGAAAATGAGGTGCATTCCTTTCATTCTGTACCTATCTCATTTTACCTGGGCTCACTCTGATTTGCTGCGTTGTTATTCAGGAGAGCCGTTTTATCCCTGAGAATTGCCAGTTGACTTGACAGAATCGGCCAGTTGGTCAGCCAATCACCGGATCCCAGGCTCCTTCTAGATGAGCCCCTCTATGGAGTTGTGAGGAAGGAAGGTCAGAAGAAACCATGTGAAATAAAGACATTTCCCACCTCTGGCATTCCTGTTGGGCAAGCACTTCTTAGTGCTTGGGGGCCCATGGCATTTAGTGCTACCCCAATTCGGATGAAGATTCTCAGCCTCTCCCACGCATGGGGCCCCAGCATTGTGTAAGGATGTAGGCTCGGCCCTGACTCACAGAGCAGAGGTGATTTGTATCCTGTGAGTCACCTACACCACTTCCTGCTGGCACATTTGCCATGTCATTGAAACACAATCTCTGAAAGGTGAAGGCGGAGAGATGAAGGGGTGTGCTTCGAATTCCTAAAACTCATTTGGAGATTTGACAGAAATAATGGCCTCTAAAGGAATTTTGACTTTTATAGCATTATTGAAACAGAGTCCCAAAAGCCAGTTTTTGAGTTTACAGATCATTTACCCCATACCACCTTGCACACAATTCCTCTACACTTTATTCATTTATTTCTTAAAGATTTTATTTATTAATTTGTCAGAGAGAGAGAGAGAGAGAACACAAGGAGGGGGAACAACAGGCAGAGGGAGAAGCAGGCTCCCCACTGAGCAAGGAGCAGGATACGGGCTTGATCCCAGGACCCTGGGATCATGACCTGAGCTGAAGGCAGACGCTTAATGACTGAGCCACCCAGGCCTTGAGGTACTTTTGTTACCAACTTAAGAGTTTTTCACCCAATCTGTTTTCTGGCACACTGACGCTATCCCAGATCCTTAATATCCTAGTGAATTATTTTCTTAGCAGAGACCCGTGGTCAAGGATTAAAAACTCAGAAAGAGTATTGGCAATTGAATCAGAAGCCATCACTGTTCAAATAACACTAAATCATGAAAAAAAAAAACCAAAACCCTCTAAGATTAAGGAAATATAATGTGTAGGACTTCAGCATCTATTCTTTCCCTGTATAATTTTAAAATAATGAGTGGTGATTCTTAAGTGTGACAGGGTGGTGGATATCAGAATTCTCCATGGGCTGACTTTTTCAATATTTGGATCTGCTCGTCCTCCTGTTCTGCCAGAGTTCGCAAGGGCGTGGGACAGAGATGAAGCAAGACTGAGAATCACTCTTTTAAAGCAACAGAGCTGTGCAGAGGGACTGGGATTTCGCACCTATTTTGCTATTTGAATGGCTGTGTACATCCACGACGGAACTGCAGCCTTTCATTTGAGAAAAACATTTAAAAGTATGTACAATTTCATCTGTAAAAGACCCGGATGTTGAATTCACGAGGCGACTCTCATAGAAACCATCCCCAAGCCATGGACTATGTCCAAGGGAGCGTCACAGGTTAGGAGACCAGTTTTTGTGGAGGCACGCCCTGCACTGAACATTCTTTAATTCACAAAGACAAATATTTCACCTGTGGCCTGACCAGGTGGAACCAGTGGGAAAACTAACAACTACTAAAAACCTTAAAAAAAAAAAAAAAAAAAAAGACTAAGAAGCAAAACCCCAAGACAATTAGCTAAATTCTGTAATAGTTGTAGGTTGCTGTTGTCAGCAAATCCAAACAGGAAAGGCTAGTCCCTGATTTCCACAAAAGATAGAGAAAAGAGCTTCAAATGGATGTTTGCCCCGTGGCCCTGGCGTTGGCCGGAGAATTGGTAACGTTTGGGCCAAAGCCTTACTCTTAATTGAGGAAGCTTCTAGGCATAGGAGTGTCAAGGATGTAAAAACACACATCTAGAGTGCCAGTTTGTGTGGAGCGGACTGTGTGAGTTAGAGGGTTTAATTCTTTGATAGAGAAAGTTCATGGCAGTATTAAATTGAGAAGCAGAACAAAATTGGCTTGGATGAGAATCTATCCCCACCCTCCACAAAAAGCTATGTAGATAACATTATCTTTTTTCTATCTCTGTTAGAATGACAATGAAATCCAAACTTTAGCCTTTTTTTTTTTTTTTTGGCATTTAAGAAAGATGATTTATTTTTCCTTTAAGACCAATGGAAGCAGTATTTTTATTGCAGGATATGTATGGAGTGGGGAAAAGGATAGTTCTAAAGTTTTCCAAACAGTGTTGTCAAATCACTGAAAGATTATGAGACTTGCTGAACAAAGATGGATCCCTAACTCTTATTTTCTAAGGTCGCTAACAACATACTCCGTCTTGCACAAGACATTTAATTTAACTGCACTGAAGTCATTTGGGGTTAATAACTACTTAATAGGATTGTTCTAAGGGTCAAGTTTGAAACATTATGAAACCATAAGCTATGATGCTGATGTGTAATTCCGTTTTTAGCACCTCAATAATATGCGATATGCTTAAAATATACGTATCTCTGATTGAGAAAAAAATAAAATAAAAAAATAAAATCCTTTCTTAAGTGAATTAAATCATTCTTTAAAATAGCCAAATACAAAGAGATTTGTAATCTTACTATAGACCAGTAGAGGGCACTACCCACGTGTAGTGCTAAAACTGGAGGCGGGATCAAGAGCATCATGAACACTGGTGGGAGTCTCCAGTATGCTGGGCATTTTGGAAAAACATCATTTCATTTAATTCACCCCCAAACTCTGTAAGGTAGAGGAAACTGAGACCCAGAAAAGTTAATTAAGTTTTCCAAAATCACATAACTCGAACTTTCTCCCAGGATTGCCTTTCCATCATATTTTGTTTTCTCCCTACGGAATTAAATACCCTGCTTCAATTATATTTACCCTGGTTTGTCTGGGTGATGGTTATTATCCTCTAGTATTATTGCACGTTTCCAAGTTCATGATGTGGCCCATTAACAGCGTTGCTATGCACCCTTGGGAAAGTTACTTAAACTCTCTTTGTCTCCGTTTTCTTTCATGTCTAGCGGGGATAACAGTAGCATCTTCTCCCGAGAGTCATCGAGTGGATGAAATGAGATAATATAGATGAGGAGGATAAGAACCACGCCTGCATATGGTCCATGTTCATAAGTGTTAACCACTGCCAACTACGGCAACTAATGGTCTCGCTGCCATTAGTACTTATTATACAAGAGTTACTCGTATCGACTAGAAAGAAGGGTGAAGTGCAAACGCCCAACTCCTAGACAGAAGCAGCTAAATCCTCTTCAGGTGCAATTTAAAGGATTCTTCTTATGCTTTCTCTGCAAGTCAGAAACTACTCGAGTCATTCTGGAGCCTGTTTTCCAACATTTATCTTTCAAGTGGTAAATACATGATAAAGAACCTCAGACTTTTGCGGGGCTGATGGAAACTGGGTTCTGGGGCTCCATGGTTCATGTAGGATGGACGTTCATTCCCATATTAGATAGGATATGTTCTGACTTTACTTAGATTACATTTTATCAATTAACACCTACTTTTGCACATAGTACCATGCAAAGAGTAATGTAGGCACTTAGATCAACAAGGAACATATCTAAGTTTGAGAGTCTTGTTTTGTTGTCACCGGAAATAGGACCCGAGTTTCATTGGAGCCTTCTTTTGTTGATAGGTTCTACCTTGGAGCATTGCTCTGAACACTCCGTGGAGGAAAATAGTGAAAATTCTCCAATTTCAATTGCTAAGCTTCTTAGGAAATAAAACTTCACAATCAGGTCTTTGACATTTAGAGCAGGTCAGCCCTGTAACCAGGAATGCCATGCCAAGTTTTTCACCCTTGGACAGGGAGCCAGGGGCTCATTTATTTTCAGTGATGTGCCTGTTTTCATGAATTAGTTTCTTTTATGGTTTTGATGAATCAAATTTGAATTCTTAAAATAATTAAAATGACCCTAGAGTACTGTGGTTATCTGGAAATCGGATCAGGGTTTCTTTCTTTGAAGCACTGTTTATATATTTGGTTTCCTCCCCAATAAATAGGTCTCCATCTTCTCCAAGCAGTTCTGGGCACCACGGTGATTCCTTCCTGCATCCCGGGAGAATCTGAAGATAACTGCACAGCATTAGGTAAGCCCAGCTTTGCCAGAGGGCATCAGCACATCACGCATTTGTAACAGAAATGTACTCAAAGAGGACGGATATGTGATAGCGTAGAAGAAAGGGGGGGGGATAACTGCTAGGTTAGAATCATTTTTTTAATGCCCTTATGAACTAGTGGTCTGGAAATTTTATATAAAAGACTAACTGGTGGGAGAGGGACTGGGCATCTTGTTATATAGAAAAATTGGATCTTAAGGAGATAGGAAACAATCAAATAAGATTCTGATTTCATTTGGCTTTGCTGTGAAACCATTGTTAGAGGTTGGATCCCGGGCAAAAATGGGAAAATTTAAACTTTGTACTCAGTAGATAATCAATATATTTTGTTATTTTTTATAAAAGGGACAAATGATGCCCTTTCTTTCTAGTTACAACATTCATTCAGAAAATATTTACGGAGTACTTAATACCTGTCAACCACCGTGTGTAGGCATAGAATACAAAGAGAAGTGATGCGCGGTCTGGTTCCCTCCAGGACTCCCAAGGACTCTGGATGTGGTCCAGGAGATCTACTTTATTTATTTATTTTTTAAAAAATTTCTTTTCAGTGTAACAGAATTCATTGTTTATGCACCACACCCAGTGCTCCATGCAATACGTGACCTCTGTAATACCCACCCCCAACCTCCCACCCCCACCACTTCAAAACCCTCAGATTGTTTTTCAGAGTCCATAGTCTCTCATGGTTCATCTCCCCCTCCAATTTCCCTCAACTCCCTTCTCCTCTCCATCTCCCCATGTCCTCCGTGTTATTTGTTATGCTCCACAAATAATCAAGACCATCTGGTAATTGACTCTCTCTGCTTGACTTATTTCACTCAGCATAATGTTCATCATCACTAGCCATCAGGGAGATTCGAATTAAAACCACATTGAGATACCACCTTACACCACTTAGAATGGCCACAATTAGCAAGATAGGAAACAACGTGTGTTGGAGAGGATGTGGAGAAAGGGGAACCCTCTCATACTGTTGGTGGGAATGCAAGTTGGTGCAGCCACTTTGTAGAACAGTGTGGAGATTCCTCAAGAAATTAAAAATAGAGCTTCCCTATGACCCTGCAATTGCACTACTGGGTATTTACCCCAAAGATACAGATGTAGTGAAAAGAAGGGCCATCTGTACCCCGATGTTTATAGCAACAATGGCCACGGTCGCCAAACTGTGGAAAGAACCAAGATGCCCTTCAATGGACGAATGGATAAGGAAGATGTGGTCCATATACACTATGGAGTATTATGCCTCCATCAGAAAGGATGAATCCCCAACTTTTGTAGCAACATGGACCGGACTGGAAGAGGAGATCTACTTTAGATCCCATCTGAGTATGGAGTCGAGGGTTGTCCTGAGGAACCAGCCTATTTCCCACAACAATTTCACCTTCTCTCTTGTCCTCCTTTGTGTTATGACTCCACTATTTAGGTTTTTTGTTTTTGTTTTTTGTTTTTTTTAGTTTTATTTAACTTCCAGTTGGTTCACATATAATGTACTATTAGTTTCTAGTGTACAAAATAGTGATTCAGCACTTCATACATAACTCGGTGCTCATCACAAGTGCACTCCTTGATCCCCACCACCTATGTCACCTCCTACCATCTCCCCTCTGGTAGCCATCAGTTTGTTCTCCAGAGTTATGAGTCTGTCTTGACTTATCTCTTTCTCTCTCTTTTTACCTTTTACTCATTTGTTTCTTAAATTCCACATATGAGTGAAATCATATAGTATTTGTCTTTCTCTGTCTTATTTCATTTGGCGTAATGCTCTCCGGCTCCATCCACGTCATTGCAAATGGCAAGATTTCATTCCATTATATACATACCCATGTATACATATGTATATACCACTTCTTTGTCCATTCCTTAGTTTGTCATCCCACTTTGTCCATTCCTCAGGACACTTGGGCAGTTTCCATAGGTTGGCTATTGTAGATAATGCTGCTATAAACATCGGGGTGTATGTACCCTCCCCCCTCAAAATAGTATTTTTGTTCTCTTGTCCTCCTTCATCATTGGGCTCTCTAGAAGTTTGGTCTGAGTCCTTCCTTTTTGTTGTTGTTGTTGTTTTGTTTGTTTGTTGGAGCAGGAGTATTACAATCAAAATGCTATTGTTTGATTATTTCATAAACATCCTTCACATTTTAGTGACCAAATCATCCTAAAGTGAATTTTACATATAGGTTGCAACACTATTTCTAATGAGGCTCCTGTTTTCATTATTGTATTTGTCTATCCCAGACACCTGTAAGTCAAGATTTGCGTAGTTCAGATCTTGTGGTTACAGACGTTGGGGAGGCTTTGATTGGTGTCTTTGACAGTAGCCTTAAAAATTTGGGAATGCGGGGGCTCCTGGGTGGCTCAGTGGGTTAAGCCTCTGCCTTTGGTTCAGTAGTCCTGGGATTGAGCCCCACATCGGGCTCTCCGCTCTCGGGGAGCCTGCTTCCCTCCACCCCCTCTCTGCCTGTCTCTCTGCTTACTTGTGATCTCTCTCTCTCTCTGTCAAATAAATAAAATATTTAAAAAAAATTTGGGAATGCACATTAAAACATGCCTTCCTAGCTTAAAACCCATTGTAGAATTTTGCTCTCTTGAATTAATTAATGGATTCAGTTTGCAATAGCTTTTGGAATAATGAACAACACACTTATTTTGAGATTTGAAAAAAATCAGGCAAACTTGGGTTAAGTGAACAAGTGTGGAGGATAATGATTTTTGTGTGTCTTAAAATTGCCTTTTCTAACCTTCAAGATTCTCATTTGTGAATTAAATCCCCAGGTCTTACTTTGTTTATTTAGTCTGTTGGACATTTTCCTTAGGGGCCAAATGTTTGTTTATTGGTATAGAGAATGTGATAACTACAGGGACTTCCTACTCCTAAAATTTCTCTTCAGCTGATTGGCACCTAACGTGCTTTGCTACAGTAGTTTAGTGTTTATTATAAGAAAGGGGGATGAATGCTTTAAAGGAAGCCACAAAATATATCCAGCTTTCCATTTCCTTCACAGTTCATGTAGAAGACAACCCACGTATGGCTCAAGTGTCAATAACTAAGTGTGACTCCGACATGAACGGCTACTGTTTGCATGGACAGTGCATCTACCTGGTGGACATGGGTCAGAATTACTGCAGGTAAGACGCCAAAACCAAACAAAAAACAGCGTGTTTTTTTTTAACTTATATTCTAGGTTTTTAATTTTTTACTTTTTTTAGTTTTTGACGTTGACCTCTATTTCCATGGGCCGATGTCTATACATACTATTAGCAGGCAGTTATACAAGCTATTAGGAACTTCATTAAGTGAGTTTTTTAAAGGTACGGAACAAACAGTAGCTCTCAAATCATACAGACACTTCAGGGTTGCAGAGTGGGGAAGGCGTGGGTGGCTCTTTCTCATACTTGCCGCGATGGCGGTTCCACTGGACCTCTACCTCAGCCCTGTTTTATGAGTTAATTGCACTGATTTAGACATAAAGCACCTCCCACCTACAAACTTTACAAACACCAATGGAGGTCCTCAGCCAGCCTGTCCTGTTAACCCCAGGGTTGAGCTTTGAGCGTGAGGCGCTTTTTATCAATGTTGGCCCTCCTGTAGGGTCAGTACTTGGATTCCTGCCTCCAGCTTCTGGCAAATCTTGTTGATTTCTTGCATGACAGTGTGAGATTACTTCTTAGACAACTAATTCATAATAATAATTCCTTTTTTAAGCAACTGATCTTTTTCTTGTATTTTCCTTTAGGTGTGAAGTGGGGTACACTGGTGTCCGATGCGAGCACTTCTTTTTAACCGTCCAAAAGCCCTTGAGCAAAGAATACGTGGTGTTGACTGTGATTCTCATTATCTTGTTTCTTGTCATAGTCGCCGGTTCCATCTACTACTTCTGCAGATGGTAAGCCGGGATTTTTGCAACCTGCTTCTATAGACTATTTTTAAACAATACAGACTTACAAACTGGGTAAAACTATGAACAAAGTATGATTTGGAGGATAAGGTAGACTCTGCAATGATGATATTTACGAAGAAGTTTTAGTGGTAGAACGTATGGATTTAACTCTACTATTAGCTCTGCTATTTCTTTTTTTCTTTTTCTTTTTCTTTCTCTTTATTTTTATTATTTATTTATTTATTTATTTTTTGAGATAGAGAGCAGAGCAAGAGGAGTGAGAGAGAGATCACAAGTAGAGGGAGGGGCAGAGGGAGAAGGAGAAGCAGGCTCCCTGCTGAGCAACATGATGCTTGATCTTGGGACCTGAGCCAAAGGCAGACGCTTAACCAACTGAGCCACCCAAGTGCCCCAGAAATACTGATTTTTGAGAAAGAAAGAAGGAGGAAAGGAAGAAAAGAGGGAAGGAAGGAGGAAAAAGAAACAAGAAAGAAGGAAAGAAAGAAAGAAAGAAAGAAAGAAAGAAAGAAAGAAAGAAAGAAAGAAA